CGCGCTGCTGGTCCAGGAGGGCATGGGAGCAGATGTGTGCCTCTAGCTCTGCACAGGGCGGGTTGGGCCAGGCTGTGCTCTAGATCGGTGGCAGAAGGCACTGGGAGTGGGGGCTATGCCCTCCCACCACTCGCCCAGGCTCCCCGTGCCTCCCAGACAAGCCACAGGTTCGCCCTGGCTGGGCGAGCAGCAGCAGGTCCCGGGGGGCGAGCAGGTGCACCTGGATCGGAGTGGCTCCGGCAGCAGGGCCTATGGGGAATTTTAGGGTGGCTGCAGCCCCACCACAGCCCCCTGCTCCACTGCACTCTGCGGGGCGGACAGAGCCAGGGCTGTAGCTGGGGCTAGCCACCTGGAGCGCAGCCCTGACTCTACCCACCCTGTGGACTGGAGCCCGGCAGCAGGGGCTAGTTTCCCAGAGCAAAGCCTGGCCCAGCCTGGCCCATGCAGATCCAGGGGCACATGCCCACTCCCATACCCTCCCAGACCCATGGTGCATGGTGGTGGGAGCCCCGCCTTCCCATGTCCCATCCCTCCCCACCCCAGATGAGCAACTTGTCCCAGCCCCAATCCCTCCCTCACTGTGGGGGCGCTGATCTGCCCCCCACCTCCCCTAACAGAGTTACCAGCTAGAGGCAGCTATGCCCAGCGTCCTCAAGGACTGCTGCCTGTTTAGTCTATGGCTGAAGCTCTGAATTGGTGCCAAATTGATTCAGAGGCTTCCCATTCAATTCAGAGCTTTTAATGCATCTCTCGGTTCAATTTGGATTTGGAGACTTAGCCGCTGAAGCAGGCTGAATCGAATCAGCTACCGAAGCGTCACACAACCCTAATAGCTTGTCTACCAAAAATAGGCAGCAACTACCAGTCATTTAACACAAGGGCCCTTTTACCTGTCAGATAGACCAAAAAACTCTGCCTGGTAGCAACTTGGGCTGATCTTGAACTGATAAGAGTGCAAGCAAACCTACTCTCATCACTGAACTCCCATTTATTTAAATGAGTCTGTTTTGTTTTAGCGTTTCTCAACAATTTCCCTCCAAAAGCCACACACAAAGGGTCCCCCTCCTCGCACCAAAGTGCTTAATAACAACTTTCCAGGCTAAGAGTTCTCTGTATTCCATGACTTGCTCTATTTAAACACACTACTCAGTCCTTAGCTTTGAAATTATAGCATGCATCATGGCTTTCCCTGCAATTCAAGCATTTTGCAAATGAGCTAAGGTCTCCGATTAGTTATAAGAAATCCATCACTGTTTGAGCAAAAATAAGTAGACTTGATGAAACAATATTTTTATTATATTTAATACAAGTGAATAGATTAGGAGATCTGAAATGTTATAAAGCAATATACATACTGAATAAATAATATGCACAGGAGAGTCTTGTCTACATTATATAACACTGGCTAGTATCAGAATACTTAAAATAAATCCAGTGACATTGGATAAAGTCCATAAAAATGCTATCCTGTCTTCCCTTGTATGAAATTGTTCAAGTATAAAAAATCCAATACAGTGTAAAATATTAAATTCCATTTAGATCAAGAATAAAAATTGCAAGTATTGCAGTTTCACAGGACAATGTAAAGCAGCATTTTCTAGCAACGAAAAAAAAATTGTCAGTCTATGTATAGATGAGTGAAAAGAGCTATACTAATGTATTTGAGAGGTCTAAGAAAAAAAACTACTTAAGAGGGAAAAGCATGAATTAGCAGTATTTTAATGTAAAAATCTAAAAGGTGTTAATTTTAAGAGTACCCTCATACAGTGCACATACTGAATTTAAATAAATCCGAGTCAACGTCCTTAGTTGATTAGGTTAATATTTAATATGCTACATCTAAACTACTAAATAATTTATGCCATGAGATGAATACATAATTTTACAGTGTCACATCTAAAGTTGCTTTCTTTAGAGTGCAGCATAGTAAAACTTTCAAAATAAATATTTTCTTAAATAGCATTACAATTAAGGCACAGTATAAATCACATACCATTTACCCTTGAAGAACTGTATCTCAGTAACAAAAGTTGGGTCGTGTACTGTAGGTTTGCTAATAAATATTTTAAATATTATTCTGAAATATACTAAAATTGTACAAATTTTCAAAAAAAAAAAAAAAAAAGAGAAATTCCCTTAAAACAGTTCTTAAAGGTTTAAATTCATCAAGCTTCTTCCTGCCTTTATTCACAAGTCATGAATAGATGCAATAAATAGAAAGAGAAGGCTGTTGCAGTAAATGACTGATCCTATTTCAGAATCAGAATAGCTGACACCAGCAATTAAAGTTTCCCAAAAGTGAAACAGGATGGGGAGAGGGATTAGAATGTGACTAGCTCATCAAACGAGCACAAGTGATGTGTTCTTTCCAGAACTGTCTGTGTTATTGATTGTCTCTACAGCTGTTGCACCCATTAATTCCACATCACTTGCTCCACAGTTCCACTCATCCAGAGGACAAATAAGAAAATAACTTTGGTGCCTGTCCGCCATTTTACCAGCAGGCCATATTCCTCAGATTGTTCGATGCCCATTCATGAAATGGTAAGAAAATACTCTCTCACTAAAACTGGCTCTGTAGGCCACAAAAGCAAAAAAGGACAATCAGTGCTTTAAACTCTATTTTTTTTTTCTTTTTTAAGTTAAACTCCATATAAAGGCTACATTTTGCTCACTATTTTTTCCTCTGGTTCTACTTTTTCTAAATACCATTTTCTCACTTGTAAAAAGGCAGTTTGCTTCCCTGATACTGTAAAAAATACACTTTTCCTTTTATTTTATTTCCCTTCCCCCCAACCCCCCCATGAAGTCCCATTGCTACTCTTGCCATCCTTTCAGAACAGTACAGTACATTTTCAGTTTTTTCTGGACTGATACTGAAACTGATACACCCCAACCTACTCCTTTCCTATAACAACATGAATTGGATGCATACTGTATGAAGACAGTGGAATAATAATAATAATAAAATCTTTTAACGTTGCAATAACATTGCTTTTCTTAAAGCTTCTTAATGTTAATAGTCTCTTATTAACTACGTGTATTGGAAGGCTGGAAAAGAGGAAAAGAAAGAGAGAACTTTCTTCAAAAGTCCATCTGCTATTGCATGCGGTCTGTTTGCAGCTGTTGTGGCTGGTACTGGCCAAAGGCTGCAGCTGCTGCAGCAGCTGTCCCAGGTGCTGCAGCAGTGATTGGTTGCTGGACTGCATAGCCATAACCCCCAGCGGTGACATATCCTGCAGCAGCCGGGGATGCTGCATATGGGTACTGGTCATAGGCGGCAGCAGCTGCTGCTGCTGCTGAATACTGGGCATATGCAGCTCCAGTGTAATCAATATAAGGTGTGGTGGAGGCAGCAGCGGCTGTGGGTTGGACATGTGGAATTACAACTCCTGGCTGCACAAAAGCCTGTGGATAGACATAATGAGCAGGTATCCTGTTGAAAGATGGAAGACAAAGTTAGAATTCATACATCAGGTCACCTCCAAATGCTCCTTCCATACTGAGAACTAAAACAAACTCAATTTAGTTGTTGTTATGTGCATAGGGTTGCCACAATAACTAGCTCAAATAGACCCATGTATCATTTCAGTAGCCCAAAGAGATGCATTGCTCCAAAGCACAGTGCTTCAGCTGGCTTTAATTGAACACCACAGCATCAAGCAACATAAAACACTTTCATTTTAGGAGGGCCAGCATCTGTGATGGCAGCTTAAGCAGTTTTAACAAAGGAAAGTTTGATGCATCCCAGCTGTAAAACTGAAGTATTTACATTAAGAAAAAAAAGAAAGAAAGAAAAGAAAGGAAAAAAAAAAAAAAAAAAAATCACATTCAAGTGATTTTTATTACCCTAATTCAGACCAAACAAATAGACAATTAGTATATTTCATTATAGCTAAACTTAAAAAAAATAAATAAATAAAAGATTTATACATTTCCCCCTCCCCTCAGAAGTTTTTTGTATCATGGCAACCCTACTTAGATTGCTATGCAGACTCAGCACACATTAATTTCTCTGCAACCTCAGTCATCCTTATTAAAAATAAAAATAAATAAATAAAATGACAGGCGACAAAGGAGTTTAAATGAAGTTCACAAGTGTGGTAAACACAGCAAGAATCACACTTTCCAAACGAACTATAGTGCAGCTCACTCTGTCACAAAAGGCCACTGAAGGGAAGCTACATAGATGCTATTAAAACTCATAACAGTGATTCCTAAGTACATGTGCATCACACTTTTGTAAAGGTCATAAGGACACGATGTTCAAACCTGTTTGATTATCAGGCCACTGATGTCCTGTTTTGTGCCAGCTTGTTTATTTCTATGCAAGACATATAGCATAGACTTTTTTGGGAGATGGGGTAGGATTAAGTCTAAATGGACCTGGTGCTTAACAAAAGCAAAAAACAGGTTTATGACTCATGAAATAATTGTTTCGAACAAGTCAATATACACACACTTCCCTCCCACCCCTTACCTTGACCAAATTAGAGAATTTGCCTTCTTAGTTTGTAAACTAGCTTTTGATGTCTGTAGTAACCCCGTCACATCACACAAATCTACATACAGATTACTCTAATCCTTCCATGTTATCTTCCAATAGTAAATACACTGTTTTGAACAGAAATAATAGCGCCATTTTTAATGACGCATGTAAGCCTCCATCTTGCATCTGGACTGATGTGTAGATCCAGTCATGCACAGTCAGTAGGGCTCAACATAGCTTCAAAGGTCTGCTCATGCAGCTCCAAATGCAGGATCAGGGCCATATACTCTGCACACAAATCAGAAACTTCCCTTTCTAGCTCAGTCTAAATACAGCTCCAACCTTTTAGCACAATATTTGCATTGTAACCATAGATGGAACATCACGCAACACTACATTCTGTAAGAGGAAAAGGTTAAAAAAAAAAAAAAAAAAAAAAAAGCTTCCAGTTTTATTTTAAAACATGAAATGCTAAATGTTATGAGGTAGACAGGACATTGTCAGTTAAATTATTTCCAGAATACAAATTTTATTCCCCCCACCCCTTCCCCCACACATGCACAAACTGTAAAGCTGGTTTGTCCTATTTTGGTTTTTTAATTAAAGAGAAGAAGTGAACTATTAAGTACCCCCCTCTGCTGTGTTTGTAACTTAAACATTGCGGTTGTAGAAACCCAACAATGCAATGGAGTTAATTTAATTTTCCATTGTCTAAGAGATCGGTAAAAAGTTTGACACAGACAGGGGAAGGAGTGGGGGGGGAAGCAGAAGCAGTGAGACAACTGGATTCTTAAAAAGCAGCTTAAATTTATACACTGGGGGGGGGGGGGAAAAGGATACACTTGCTGCATACCTTAAAGCTGACGCATCAATAATTAGAGTATTATCTTAGCCCTCCACTCAAACAGAATAAACACTGTGCACAAATATCTTGTATTAGATACTGACATGAGTGTGAATATACTTCTTTTATAGTGTTGGAATTGGTCTTAAATAGGAAAAGGAAGATTGAATTCATGTCTTATTCTAAGTTACATGACATGACAACTTGCCTGCTTTACTACTTTAAAGTCTTCCCTCAAGGCTTCTCCTAAAAAACTTTTGATAGTGACAGTCAACTTAGTATCCATGTAAGAGTCAGTTTTACATACAACTATCATGGTTTAAAAGTTACTTCAACAGGAAAGACATAGAAAGATAGACTAAACTTTGAGATTTCTCTCACCAATAGAAGATGGCATTACAAAGGATTCCCTGGGTTATTGGGACTTCTGTATGTATACTTTAAATCCTTGTTAAATACTAGACAAAGATGCATGTGCTTCCACTTAAAACCTTGTGACTTGTTCTCTTTAAACCAAGAAACTTAGCTAACAGGTGGTGAATTATGAAACCCTATCTCTTTACAACTTCTTAGTCCACATTATACGTGAACCCCATGGAAGATCCTCACCATCATGCCATTTCACACATGGTGATTGACAGCATAAGCTGCAGCAGGGCTATTTTTGATTGTCTGTCATGCGACAAGGTTTTCAAGCAGAGTAAAATGACTTTATAAGGCCAAAGTAAACTTCTATCTACCACAAAGGCAAGCATGCATAGATCTCAACGATATTGAAACATTAACCCCTTTTATACTCTGTGAGGCCAAAAGGTTAAAGAGCAGTTTCCCGTTATGCTGGGGCACCTTTAGTCCTCAGGATTTTTATACCCAAGATGACCGGATTTCTGTGGGCAGGGAAATATTTGAAATGTACAGAGTCTCAACTAGCTTCACTGCTTTTCATTTATTGTTTTTCCATTGTGGAATATACAAGTTCACTGATGGAAAAAAGGCAATGTTTAGTTTGGCACCAAGCGTAATTTTGGAGCGTACAACTTGATGTGACAAGTGGTCTTGCTCCGGACTTTCCTTATTCTAAACTGCAAGGAGAAGGCATTTTTTAAATTCTTTTTTAAAACAAAGTCAGCAGCTTGGTAAAACTGACTGCCATGGTAACTAGATGAGCAACAGTAAACTGCTAGCCACGTTGTTTTAAGTGTTATTCAGACAACTGAAATGGAACAAAGATAACATAGGCTTGTCTTTCTATATCTTACAGTTATATTGTTCTATGCATTAATAATGAATTACTATGTTAATACAACTGCTACAACAGAATCGTTATTAGACTCTGAAAAAAATGTATTCTCTCTGTATCTTGCACTGCATCATGTTTTTAAAATCATCATTAACTAGGATTTTATTCAAGATTAAATAGTAAACAACCTTCTTATACCATAAGTAGGGTTACACATACACAAAATCCTGCAATGCCAAAACATGCTTGCTTTAAAGTTTGTGTCTAACAGTTCAGAAGGCAGTGGACATTCTCAGTGTTCCCTTTTCTTTAACCGCTTCAGCAATTTAAATATTATACAAGTCTTCTAATCAAAGTCAGGACAGGACTTTTCCCTCCAGCGTTTATAATTATGCAGCCCAGACCGATTATTTGTCAAACTGGTAATATCAGCTAACCCGTTGGTAGCTGGTTTGTCATCTTTCTGCTCCATTGAAGGAGCAGGAGTTTTCCTGTTACTTTGGAATCAGGATTTGGACAAATGGGGAACAGATCTCTGGTAAATAGCTACAAATATATCTTACCTCTAGCTTTCTCTACATGCCTTTAAATTTTTCACCAGTGTGGCATGAATATTGCATATGCAAAAAAGAAAAAAGGACCAACCTTAGTGGAAAGAAAAAAGTCTTAGAAAAAAGCCCATCAGCAGCAATTGGCATTCTAATAATATAAACTAAATTTTCACAGATCATAGTGGGATCGGTCACCAATCCCGATCAGACTCCACTTTCAACCTCCCACTCAGAGTAAAGTAGAAGTCAGAAAGTATTACTTGGTGAGTGAGTTAACGTCAACATCAGAATGGGAAAAGTAAAATTCAGTTATGTGGTTCAGGAACTGAAATTAGTCTAGCTTGTTGGTCTCATCTATAGTAAGTAAAATGCACAGAATTAAAGTACACCTTCCCATTAAGACTGAGGTACTGTAATCCATTTATTTTTCAGTGTCTTTGCTGAAAGCTAGAACCATGACAGAGCATTTCTGACCACACCGGATTTTCACCAATTCACACATTTTTAGTGTGTTGATTAGCATTCTTTTCCATTTCATTCACAGCACTGCAGTGAATGTCCACATTACTTACTTTTACATAGCATACTAAAATACACTGGTTCAGCATTCATAGAAAAAGAGCTTAAACTGTCTTTCAGTGTTGTCCAGTTAACATTCAAAACATTACTCTTTACAGAAAAAGTTTACCCAGTTAAAAATAGCCAAACATTTAAATGTCTGTAGATGATCAGTCAAACAACTCAGCCTTTTCACCACCACCTCATGTTATCATCATTCGCTATCACCTTACTGTATTTATACTTCTCTCCTCAACCTTAGTTTCCTGCATTCATATATACAGAGATCAAAACAGCAGTTTACTGGGAAATTATTGGAAGTGGATGGTTTCAATAGGAGATGGGATTAATAATTTCATTTTACTATGTGTATTAGAAAAGCTGGTATGAACATAGATTAAAAAAAACCCACCACACTACCACCATATTCTGACAAACATGCACACCTTTGTGTGCAAAATCTCTCTTCTCAAGGCTAATACTACACTACATTGGAACCACAACTTGAAGAAATATCCCCAAACCAATAACCTATATTTTAAAATGTTGCTCATCTTGGGACAAAGGCTAGGGAGGAGTGGAGAGAGACAGAAAGTATCCTTAATTTACAAAGGTTCTTCAAGTAGCATATAGTGCCTCCTTTTCTTCTGTGCTAGGCAAGTACTTTCTGGTTTCCCACTGCACCCTCAGCATTCCCCTGGCATCTCTTTGTAACTACATTTTAATGGTTCTAGGTAGCCCTTCCCTGCCTACATTATTGTGCATCATAAACCCATCAGCTATGCTTCGTAATTTCTTGCTGGCTCTTCAGAACACTAATAGATACTTCCTTGCAACAAGGCCAACAATAGAAATTAAGAAAAAGGGGGGGGGGCAAGAGTAATTTTATAAATCAATGAATTTAATGTACGTTTTCAAAACTAGTTTTCTGGTATACATCAAACTCCTTGGGAAAAAAAAAGTACTAACACACAATCCACTATGATAGAAGGTGCTCTACATGACCTTTCTAGAAGACCCTCTTCTTCCTTTTGAATAAGTTTTGAGGACAGGTGATAGAGTGGCCACTATGGAGTAGCTACTGCCATTTCACCATACCATGCTACAGTATCTTAAAACTAGATGTCAAAAAATTAACAAAGTACATTTTGTGATGCATTCTCTTTATGTTATTGTTAGCCTACTCATTAATTAGCAAAATTCATTATTTTGCAACGAATCTCCCAGTCAGCACGAAGTAGTGAAGTGGTAGTCTACAGAAAATTCAAGTGGACTTTACCTCCTAATTTTATGTTTTAAAAAAAAGTAAGAGTTAGAACTCCTTAGGAATAGGGGACTTTTCTTTTTAAGGAATGCACTAAATATTGTCAGATGTAGAAATTCAAGTCTCAAATTAGAAAGCCCAAGTGGACGCACATTGTTAATAAAAGAGCTCCACACCCTTCCAAAACCCTCCCAAGAAACAAAACCAAGAAAAATGAACATGCAAGCAATACGCTGATTTTCTTTTAAAAAAAAAAAAAAAAAAAAAAATATCAAGAAATCACACAATTTAGCACTCACTACAAAAATATGGTTAAAAAAAAAAAAAAAGTCACAGGCTACAGCTTGAAAGCAAGAAAAAAAAAATCCCTTTGCTCCCCATGGCAAAGTCAAAGTCAACACTCCTCAACAACAAAAACAAAATTAAAGAGACCCCCAAAAACTTCCACTACAGCTCTTTCAATTAAATAAAAGCACACAGTTTAGCTATCAACACCACTTCATTACTGTAATAAATAAATAAATAAATAAATAAAAAATAAAAGCACACGGAGGTCTATCGACTATTAAAAAAACAAAACAAAAATAAAACCAAAAAATAAAAAACATACATGCATCGTTAATCACCATTTTAGCTTGTTTGGGTTTGAGTCTACTGGTTACAGAGTTTAATTCCAAACAGAACTATTCCACCTCTTATCATCATATCCTTCTGATCAGTTATCTTAACTGTAAACGATCCCTGTCAGATTAGAAAGAGATAAATAACATTGAGTCAAGCTGGAAAAAAAAATAAACGGGAGGGGGCACAGTGATCTTGCATAAATCATACCTTTTGGTTTTTTTAAAGAATTAAAAAAAAAAAAAAAAAATCATAGGACTATATGGTACTTGTTTGCTTGGGTGGGAGAGCAACGCATTTCTTACACAACTTGACTCAGCTATACTACTCAGAGCATCACTTGCAAAAGTGAGCATATTTACAGGGCACATATTTTTAAGTATGGAAAATTTCAACAGTACCATTATCAAATTCAGTGGCAATACTACACATGACCAAAAGATTATACTTTTTTCCCCCCTTTCTTTAAAAGACCTGTTAATAGACTTACCCAAAAGGTCTCTGTATGAGAGCTGGATGAAGTTGCTGAACACCAAAGGCAAAACCTACCAAACAAAAACACATCACAAAAAGAGTGTTCTTTCAGCTGCTTGTTTTATCTATGAACACAACAAGATAGACTAACAAGCAGTAGTAAAGATGGGCGAAACAGAACCACATGTTTTACTGTCTGACCTGGATGTATGTAACCTTGAAATTTACCAATCTGCAAAAAGACAGTTTATGCAAAGACAGCTAGGAGACCACCACTGCATCACTGTGCATTAGCCCATGTTTTCTAGCAGTTAATTCCAGTCTCTACCTATAGCTTCAGAATTCGACAAGACCATCCACTAATTTTTAACCATTGGTGTGTATGTGCAGTTTCTGTGAACTGCAGTGGGAGCCAATTTATATGCCAATAGGAAGGTAGAATTTAACCCATACTGCAATATAAACTGACTTTTTCCTTCTTTGGATGAACTATTTATAGACCATTGGCCGTATTGTTATACATTATGTGAACCCCTCCCTCACACTGGTGGGCTCTTGGTCACACAAGCAAACACGTTAACAAGTATTCAGGGTTCAGAGTCAGCTCCTTCCATCAGGATATGAACATTAACTCACTCCAGATTTCTCCTTTATCTTGTGGTAAAGCAGTGGTATTGATAGGAATGTGGACAAACCAATATCTAACCTCTGGAGCAAAACTTGCCACATGAGAACCCATTCTGTGCAATGCAGCCCCTCTGTTTTAGTAGTCCACATTGAGATATTGTTTGTGTAAGACTGCACTTACCAAGATATGCCTCCTACCTAGACCTAATCTTTTCCCTCAATAATACTATAAGTGGTGACTGTCGTTCTGTTTATATCACAAAGGTCCGACCCAAAGAGAAAAGTCTGTACTGCAAAAATTCCTCAAGGGCGATGTGCACATTTCTCTTTATGCACAACATACATGCTGACTGTCACTATGTAAGCATTTGTACAGAATTGCCAAAAGAGTTATTTATTACATGGTGTATTAAAATATACAGTAATGGAAACGGTGAAGATCTAGGGTGCTTTCCTTGGAGTAGAGTTCATGTCTGTTTGTTTTTAATTCTCTTCAGAAATTGTGCACAAAGAGGAAAGAGATGGGAGGACGAGAGAGACAGAACACATATGAGCAAGCATGTGTCTTTTCTCACCTGGTTGCATTATCCTCGGCTTGGCTCCCAGGTATGCCAGGTTCACATTGGCCTTCCTGCCATCAATGATAGGATTCGGATCTTTGCAAGCCCTCTCAGCAGCAGCTCTGTCAGCCATGGTGACCTTAACAATATACAAGGCTAGGAATTAAACCATGATCTCTAGTAAAAAGAAGCACCACACACCCTGTCCCTTCTGAAGCATCCTGCTCCCCCACAGAGAGAAAGCTGAAACCTCACCTCACTTAGCAACTCTTTCTTTTTGCTACAAAACGAATGGCTTGGCTTGCACACACTGGATAAACTGCGGGTGACTCTAGGGAGTGGGGAGGGAATGTAGGAAAGCAAAAGCAAACCTACTAATGCAGCGACTCTCCGCCAGGGTGCTGTGGCACCCTGGAGCACCACAAGATCCCTTCAAGGGTGCCATGCAACATTAGGACTGTTATGTACACAAGGATGACTCCCAAATTCAAACAGGAACCTGATGTATTAAAACCATCTCTTATAAGTATAATAGAACTCTTCCCAATAGAAAAACGGCTTTCTCATTTTTCCCCCAAGTCAAGAAACAAAGTGGAAACTAAGAGCAAGCATTTTCTGAGGGGACCTTGAGTCTAACAGGGATGGAAACCAGCAGGCTAAAGGCTTGAGGCCTGGACAAGTTCATCCCCAGCCTGGAAGCTCCCTGTGCCATAGAAACAAGGTGGCCCCCCTCTACTGGGAGCCTGTCAGTTCCCCTTTGCTCCCCACTCCCTCCTGGACCAGCAGCCACCAGTAATGGGGTGGCTCCTATGTGTTGTTTCTCAGCTGGCTTTTCAGCTGAGAATCAGGCAGAGATCTGAGGCAGTCCAAGGGAGGCAGCCCCTGTGCTGCCTCAGATAAGGCCAACTTGGGGCTTTATCAGTGCACAGCACACCGGCCAACCAGCACCCGCTGCCAGCAACTTGCCAGCGGCTGCACCAGGATGAACTCATGTTGAATACCCCGTGTGCCACCCTCCCAGCCCCACGCAGGGCCCATCCCTGGGAATCCACCCCCCACCCACTCCCCATACACCCTCTATGCCCATAGCAGGGGTGATCCCTGGCAATACAACCCCCTGGGGCACTACCTGGGATTGATCCCTAGAAATCCACCCCACAGTCATGCTCCTGGCAGGGGCAATCCACCCCCCACCCACCCTCCAGGCCCCCTGCAAAAGGTGATCACTGACAACCCAACCCCACCCACTCCCCCATGGCCCAACCTGGGACTGATCCCTGGAAATCTACCCTGCCAGCCATGCTCCCAGCAAGGGTGGCCCCTGGGAATCCACCACCCCACATGGGACCGATCTCTGGTAATCCACCCCCTCAAGAACACTCCATGCACCCAGCAGGAGCAATCCATGACTCCCCTCACCCTCCCAACCCCACGTAGGCCAGATCCCTGCCAATGCACCCCCCCCAGCAAGAGTGATCCCTGGAAAACTGTCCCACTTACACACAGTGGATGGGACCCTGACAATCTATACCCTGGCAGGAGGGAAATCCCTTGCCTTACACAGTGGGCCAGATCCCTGCCAATGATCCCTGGAAACCTGCCCCCCTTACACACAGTGGGCCAAACCCTGACAATTTACCCCCCAGCAGGAGCAATCCCTTGAAATCCCCCACCCTCCCGCTTACACACAGTGGGCCAGACCCCTGTCAATCCCAGCAGGAGTGATCCCTGCAAACCTGCTCCCCTTACACACAGTGGGGCAAACCCTGACAATCTACCCCCAGTAGGAGTGATCCCTTGAAATCCCCCCCCCCTTACACACAGTGGGCCAAATCCCTGCCAATGCACCCCCAACAAGAGTGGTCCCTACAAATTCCCCCTGCACACAACGGGCCCAATCCCTGCCATTGTCCCCACCCCCAGCAGGAGTGATCCCTGGAAATCCCTCCCCCTACACACAGCCGGCCCGATCCCTGCCAATGCACCCCGCAGCAGGAGTGATCTTTGGAAGCCCCCCCCGCACACAGCGGGCCCGATCCCCGGCACTGCCCCCAGCCCTGCCCCAGGCGGCCGCGGCCAGAGCCGCCC